ATGGTATTTCTTCAGATATACACACACACAACTATACAGTACATTGAAACACCATAACTGATCATTCTGAATGGGATCAATATGACTGTGTGGAAAACTCTTTCAAGGTTATTGTTCTTTAAATCCACAAGTTGTTTTAGTGAGCACAAACACTTGTTTACATTGTGGTCGTTTCAAACATATTTCAATTCCAAATATTGGAGCTCTGAAGAAAAACCATAACGGTTTAACAATCTCAGTGGGACAAGAAGTTGATCCATACCTGGTTCCTGGTGTGGATTTAGCTGCCGGCGTTATTACAGCGTGGTTCTTGTTAACAGTGATGTGTGTGCTGGCTGCTGGCTGACGTTTTTCACCCATGCTAATGGTGCGGACATGATTCACAGGACCCTGCAAAGAAGGAAAAACATGCAGCGTCAGTAAATAGTGACGCAGATAAAAACCGTGTGCCTGGTCTACTGTGAAGCAGAGCAAAAAAATAAATACATGAATTAATTACTCTTAAGACAAAACACAATGAAACCAGCTCAGAGACAAACAGAACCTGAATCTGTTTCTGTCAGAAGTTACTACTGTCACTAATTTACTTTTATTTTTCTGTGAGCAAAATTTGTGACTGGAAAGGATTTAAATAATATGTTTCTTGTTATAATTCTTATTTCTTAAAGTCTTGAAACTTGAGTATTTTAAATAGTGAGTATGGAATATTCAGCATTATGTAAATGAATGCAAACATCTAAGTTAAAGAAACATTTTATTGACTTTTTGAAAACCCTGTCCAGGCCAACGCCTGATTACTTTTTATTTCCTCAAACCTAAAATTTAAATTGTACTTTATAAAGACGGTTATTTGGAAACACTTAGCCTTGCTACTAAATGAATCTCAGCTTTACTTTGAGGTGTAACTTTATCTCAGCAGTTTGTGGAGCTCTGAACTCTGCAGCTTGGACTGCAGTCGCTCCACAGACACAAGTTACACAAATCAATTCCAACTTTGCATTGCTGCCGTTCAGATGTTAGCGCCACATTGTTAGTGTTGCAACGTTTGGCTCATGCCTGCTTAGTCCATACAAATACACACTTTATTTTACTTAGAAGTAACACTAGAGGGAGGATCTGTCAAAAAGTTAAAGAAAATCAACAGTATTTGTTTTATCAATGACATTAGTAGTAAATCTTCATAAAATTTTGTGCCTAAGGATTTTGTTTAATCTGCGTTTATAAAGAAATATTTGAAAAATGTTTATAATAGCATTTTTAAAAAACATATTAAAGTTCTTCATAACAACTTCTATTAAAGTGTTGGTTGTTTCTTTTGAATTAAAACGGCACTTTATGTTTCCTTTGTTTAAAGAAACTTTGTTAAAGAGAAAAGTTTTCAGATGTTTATTGTTGTTGTAAACATTCATTACGCCAAATTCACCTTCTCCTTGTAAAGCATTTTGTATCTTTAGGAGAAAAAAGTGTGTGTGCAGGGAAGCAAAGGTCATTTTTATATTTGAAGAAATGTTTAACCTTTTAATCTAAACTGTACTGAAGAAAGAAAATCTGACGCCTCTCTGTGGTGTTAAAAACTATGAGAAGGGAAAACAGTTTAGAAAAAAAGCTTAAATGGCTGCGAGTGGAAACAGCAGGGAGGAAGTGAAGATGGAGATTTAGTTTTTAGTTTTAAAAAGGCGTGAGACAAAGCCTCACTCACCGGGACGCCTTTAAAAATGACAGGAGGGGACTGCCAAGATACACTGATGCCATTCCCAGTCCCAGTTCCAGGCCCGATCCCATTACCACTGCTTATCCCAGCCAGCTCAGGACCCACTGGGATACTCACTGGAGCGGTGGCCTGGAACGTGGACAACCACCCACACGGCCGGGAGGGGACCCAACGAAAACAAGAAGGGACAGGAAATTTGCAAAAGGTAAGAGACAAAGAGAACAATAGAAAAAGCAATGAACAGTCAGTAAGAAGATAAACTGAAATGAGATTTGCTTTAGTAAAATCAAATTTAGAAATTAAAACAGAAGAAAAAAAAACTCACTGAGCAATTTGATACAAGAAAAACAAACGGTTAGTGATGCATACGATGCATCTATCTTTGTGTGTATTGTTTATTGTCATGGCAACTGAAAGTTCAGGGCTAATGCAAAATCCCTGCAAACAACTGCATTCAGTGTGGAATAAGTTTTTAGGAAAATGTGTTTATTAAATTGAAATCGTTGAATTTTACCTCCAGCCACATACATAAACAATGGATGTGCATGAATTGATGGAGAATTGGAAGAAAAAGAGGAAGAATGAGGAGGAGGAGGAGAGGGAAGGGACATCAATGTCCAGTTACCACGAAACAGTTCAAGTGAGATGGTGTGAGTAGGAATCTAAGCATAATCACACCACATAACCAAAACTTTTATAACCTCAAATGTTGTTTTTAAACTGTAAAAAATATATTTGTATACGTGAACTTGTAGTTCTCTCACTCCACTCCCACATCTGCGTCGGAGCACATAACACTGAATGTTTTTGTTTTGTTGCAACTGATCTCAAAAAAATGTCATTGCAAATTTTAATTTTTCAATCATTTCCCTCAAGGATCAATAACTCATCTTTCAATGTGAGAGAAAATCAAATGTATTTATTAAGTATGGCAGCAAAATCTGCATGATGAATATAACCTGTGTGTGTGTGTGTGTGTCTAGTATCATGCATGTGTATGAGAGAAGTACCTGATAGGCGTGGTCAGTGCGAATGTGGCAGAGTGTGGAGGGCGCTGATTGGCTGAGCAGTGACGAGGTGTGGCTCTGCAAACCGTTCACGCTGATGAGCTCAGAGTGGGAGACGTCGCTCAGCGGTGGGGGAAAGATGGGCGGAGGACCGGCCGTGGTGGGGGAGGTAGGTGTGAGGCTGGACAAGCCCTCTGTTAGACTGTCCATGTTGACTTCAATCTCTGAGTAGTAAAAATCCTCCTCCCCGTCGCTGTAATCTGAGTCACTGTTTCGTCTGCAGGAAGAAAGCAGAGACAATTTGAAACATTATATTCCTTTCTTGAAAAAAATGCTCTTTTTCTAAGATAAGTAAGAGACATGGAGGTTGTAGTAATAATAATAAATAAATATAAACTTTATTGTCATTCAAAGTTGTACAGCGCACCATGCAAAACTGGACGACACTTCATTTCATTTCTCCACAGCAGTGAGGAGTACATCATTTACATGGATTTTATAGACTTTGGCTTCTAGAGCAGAAGATGCAATTATTGTGCAGAAACAAGTAATGTGCAAATGTTAGTGAACGTTCCTATATACACCTAGACATATGATACATTTATACATGCATGTACAGATATGTTTTTGTTTTTATGCTATTAGTGCTTAACATATTTTTTGTTGATGTTTTTTAGTTCATATCTTAGATCTTATTACAGTTTTTCTTTTGCATTTTATTGTTGGAAGCAACTGGGATCCTGTGTACATAATTTCGTTCCACCAGATGGACCACATGTGGTGTGAATGATAATAAAGAAACTCTGACTCTGTTACAGATATCTATACATACATATATATACGTACATACACAATACCGGTACACCCAGTATCCATGGCTGAATGAATTCCAGTATACTGCTTATTTTGGGCAAGGTTTATTGTTTTGTATGTCTACCTTAAGACCAAAGTACTAAAAAGTTCTTCATATTTTTCTTTTGGTTGTTCCCTTTTAAAAAAACAACAACTTTATTTATAAATAAAGTATAAATGAGTTTATTATTTATAAATGAGTCCTCGTGATTCAGTGAGACCACCTATACAAATACAGGTAGTCTCATTGAATCACGAGGACTCATTTTCAAGAGAGGCCTGTTTTGGGAGCAGATGTTGGGGGTTAAGGGCCTTGCTCATGGGCAATTGTGTGGGTGTTTCGCCTTTCCCACCCTCATTTTTATGCTGTTGAACCGGGGAGTTGAACTAGTGACCTCCCGATCATAGGCCCACCTTCTCTAACCTCTGTGCCACCATTCCCCTGCTAACCACTTCTTTATGAGTCACCTAACAAGCAAACTCTCATGAAAGATTGGGCTACCGTTTTACAACAAACACCCTTCCTGATGCAACCTGGGCTTGCTACAGCAGTCCTCTGTGGTTCTGAAAAGACACGATTCAAATGTGATGCTGCAGTTACAAATACTTACGGCAGGGTGCAGTAAAAACACATGTATGATAGTAACCTCAATCACATCCTTAATTGTGTGACTGGCCTGGCTTGTGTGTGACACGTGTGTGTTACTTTGTAAGGCCCATTTTTGCAACACATACTACACTGTGAGAACCAACTGCTCCTTATGGGGTCCAAAGCCCGAGCCCCATAAGAAGTGTCATTGGTGGGTTAGGGGTCAAGTTTAGGACTAAGGTGTGAATTGAGGATGGGTTAGGTTTAGGGTTAGGTATGTACTGGTAATGGTTAGGGGTTTAGGGTAAGGGTTAGGTATGTACTGGTAATGGTTAGGTTTAGGGTAAGGGTTAGGTATATACTGGTAATGGTTAGGTTTAGGGTAAGGGTTAGGTATATACTGGTAATGGTTAAGTTTAGGGTAAGGGTTAGGTATGTACTGGTAATGGTTATGTTTAGGGTTAGGCATGTACTGGTAATGGTTAGGTTTAGGTTAGGGTTAGGTATATACTGGTAATGGTTACGTTTAGGGTAAGGGTTAGGTATGTACTGGTAATGGTTAGGTTTAGGTTAGGGTTAGGTATATACTGGTAATGGTTAGGTTTAGGTTAGGGTTAGGTATGTACTGGTAATGGTTATGTTTAGGGTTAGGCATGTACTGGTAATGGTTAGGTTTAGGGTAAGGGTCAGGGTTAGGCTATAGAAATGAATGAAAAATGAATGGGAGACAATGCAAAGTCCACGTAAAGATAGAAAGACAAACTTGTGTGTGTGTGGGGGGGGGGGGGGGGGGGGGGAGGGGGGGGGCACGCATGCATGAATGTGTAGGTATTTAATGAGGACAAAAACTGAGATGCTAGGGTGAGAAACTAAACTAAACTTGAGCTAAATGAATAACAAAAACAAATTCAGGTGAGTCTGTGTGGGATGTGAATGTGTTGGTAAACTCTAGTTTAATTAGGATTAACAATATTACTGAGAAGCTGAAAGAGACAGATAAACGTGTGTGTTGTGTGCGTGCGTGCTCAGCGTTACTGTGGTGGTAGCAACCCACCCCAGATGGACGGTGCGGATATGTCGCTGGATCCCTGAGGAGGTGCTGAGGACCTTGTCACAGTTCTTCCACAAGCACTTAAACATCACCTTCATGGAGTTCTGGCGAGAAACAAATTACCACAAAGAACAAGTCGGTAATTAATAATTTAGTCAAGCTTTCTCACTTCTAACAAATGCAGGAAATGAAATGCCAAAAGATAAATATGAAAATGTAAATTATGCATCGTTACAAACATCCCTGACTCCGATTGATGAAAGACAAACTAATCAAAATGAGGATCAACCTTTTCGTATATTTCAGGGGAATAAATCTTTTTGCAATATTTTGTTATGGTTTTCTGTACAGGTCAGCTGTTACTGACAAACTGAATACTTAAAAAACTCTTGGTTTAAGACTTATTTCAACATGTCGTAATAAGATAGTGCATGAGGTCAGGAGAGACAGGACTAAATAAATAAACAAATAAGTGCATTCAAAACAAGAAACTTGGACTATTTTCACATTTCATTGGCATTTGCACATGACGTGGGGTGTTGTGAGGAGCCATTTGATGATAAGATAAAGATGTTAACTCATGATTCAGAGCCTCTCTTAAAATTGGGATTCCTTGAATTCTGTCCATGTGCTCCTTAAATCTCATTAAACTTAAAACAGAATATGGCTGCTTGACTCATGAGCAAACTGTCAGGAGATGGTTAGACGGCATGCGTGGGGTTTCATTTCATTTCATTGTATTTGTTTTCCCCACATGTCAGGGCTGCCAGCTCACTCCCCTATGCAGGCAGGGACTTGCGTCTCTGCTAATAAAAGACAGTGGGTGTGTGCTTTCCTACAACAGCCCATGAAGAAGAAGAAAAATACCAAGAAAAAAATAAGCAAAAGAGCTTTAGAACGACAGTCACAGAACATGTTTTCATTTAAACATTATGTTAACTCTAAGGTACAATAAAACATTTCTCAGTGACTGTTATTGCTCTTTCCCTTTGCGTTTAACAAAAACGTGTTATTAAAACTTTTGAGAAGTGTTGGCAAATTGCAGCCACACAACCACGATAGTGAAAAGAAAAAAAAGGTTCGGCAAAGCTAACCCCAAAGACTATTAACAATAAATAAATCATCCGATTCCTTAAGTTATTTTTCTGTCATCTTAACACATTTACAGTAATTCCGCTAAAAGCTGCAGTAAATTATCCTCTTTACTCACTATTTGTATAAAATCTGGCAGTTTGCTATGATCTAATCAATACGCAGCTCGCACAAGATCACACAGTCAAAATGAAGCAGAAGCAGACTTTGGATGATTTTCACCCAGCCTTTATGATTCTCAAATAAAAAGTGAAAGCTTAAAATAAATCATTAAAAAACAGCATGTTTTTAGAAAAATAATAATGTTGAGGAAATGGGGCAAAAGTCATGCTGCCTTTTTACCTGCTTCTAGCAGGGGGTGCTGTGTATATTTTGGGCTAAAATTGTTTAAAATGTAGTTTTTTCTTTGGTAAAGTTAGTGATGTACAGTATGTAGCTGTGCTGATATAACCAGACTAAACAAATACTTTAAAAAATGACTTAATACTTCAATACAAAGTTGACATTTAATTATTTTATCACAAGAGAACTGTCATATTTCTAACAAGCATGCTAAAGAGGATAAATAATACTATATTATACATACATATAAACACTTATCTACAGTGTATATATATATATATATATATATATATATATATATACACAGTAGTCCCTCACTACTTCGCAGTTCATTTATCGCAGACTCGCTCTGTCGCGGTTTTTCAAAATTAAATTGGACATGACAGCAATTGACTGATTGATGGATGAGCCGCACGATCAACATGGCATTTTTATTTAAAATCAATTATTAAAAATAAGCTGTTCTGTACAGAGGAATGGACTAAATTCCACCAAGCTGGTGTGCAGGACTAATAAACAGTTACTGGAAACATTTAGTTGCGGTTATTGCTGCACCGGGGGGTGGGGGTGGGGGGTCACACCAGGCACTGGAAGTAAAGATTCACATGCTTTTACCAATCACAAATATGTAATATTGGATCATTTTCCTCAATAAATAAATGATCAAGTATAATATTTTTGTCTCATTTGTTTAACTGGGTTCTCTTGATCTACTTTTTGTACTTGTGTGAAAATCTGATGATGTTTTGGATCATATTTATGCAAAAATGTAGAAAATTCTAAAGGGTTCACAATTTTTCAAGCACCGCTGTATTTTATCAAAAAGTCAATGGTCTTTACTGCAGACTTGCTTCAAAGAGACTGAACTGTAGACTTCCACATTCACAGTATATGAAGTCTCCTCTGCTGCTGTAAGGCTGGGGGGAATGTACAGATTCATTTCTCCTCCTGAAGTTCCCTTGAGCAATAACTTTCCTTCTTTTCCTAACAAACTCCAACCGCTCTCATTTTTGTGAATCCCTTCAACCCATGCTTCATCCCTCCCCCATCTAAATCCTTTCCTTCATTTTTCCTTGATGTCCAATCTGCCTTCACTGAAGGACTTTAAAATGGATAGAAGGCTTATTGACTATGAAAACACTTCAATGGATTAAACTGACTAAACTGAACAAAACTAAGATGAAGAGTGAAAAAAGTGAAGTTAATCCATCATTAAAAAAGGATGGACAGGCTTTATGTCAGAGACCGTTACATTTTCTGAACATTTCTGCTATTTTCTAAAGCGACTTTCTTCTGTTCTTTAAAATAAAACACTTGATTTATCTTCTACATCTTTGTCCATGAATTTGATCTATAATCTCTATAATGTGTATTTAGTCTTGACATTTTAACCATGTGGATAAAAATTACTCTTGGTATTTTATCATTAATGAAAAAGACTCTCAAGGCAACATTTTACCTTTCGCTTTCGGGGTATGGGGTCCTCAAACATGAAGTGTGTGCTTTCTGTGACATCCTCGCTGGCATCGTCACCCTGGGACGGGAGCAGGAAGTTCTTGTTGGCATCGTTGGAAAGGGGTGGGGATGGTGTGGAGGGCACTGATTGGTCACTGGCATCCCAGCTCCAGTTGCCACTTGTCGAACTGCTGTAACTTGCAGAAAGCACCTCTTTCCAGGTCTTGCTGGCTGGCTCTGGAACTGAAAGATGAAAATATAATAAATAATTTTCTCATAATGCTTTACATTTGAAAACTGTGAAAATGAACAGAAGTCAATATTATTGGAACCATAATGGTAGAACAATACTAACTACAGTCCTGATGATTTATTTAAATACAATAAATGTCTTCAACAACCTAAATGACTGCAGTTTGTCTGATGAGTCCATGTCAACAACTTAGAGCAATGACATTACTGTCCAAAGATTTTTGTTTAAAATATGTTGAGCTGAGTTGAACACGTTATTTATTTTGGTTTACAAAGCACTTGTTTCTACATTTTGGGTTTTTGACTAATCCAGTATTGTATCAGTTCCATTAAATTCAGTACATTTACTGGTATATAGCACCAAGTCACAACATAAATCATTTCAGGACACTGAACAGAAACATTCATATATAAAAAATAAGTTAACACTATTTATCTGAGGAGCAGACTGCTTTGAATTTAACTCAATTGCCGAACTCTCATCTTATAAGTTCACTATTAACTTATTAACCTTTAATAATCTTGCTGGCTTGATCCGACTCATTTGGGGAAATAAACCACATTCTACAGAAAAGATGAAGATGGGATTACCACATATAAGCTATTACATATTTTGTACAGTAAATAGAGGAGATGAGTACCAGATCACAAGTCTTTGTGACATTCATTAGTTTGTTTACAATCACTTATTGAAACATTTTATGCCAATCTACATAAATGAAAATGTGATTTTTTTTCCCCATTATAAGAAGGATGTTGGAAGTTCCACTACATCCCAAAACAACAAGATAAGATAAGATAAAACTTTATTGATCTGCAGGAAATTGTTGAAATCTCACAATCTCTTCCATTATACACAGCAATAATAACACGTCAGTTGTGTAAGACATGAAAACAACTGAAGATCTAAATAAAACTGCAACCATTTCAGCTAAATGGGAAGTATCTACTGTTTTTCCCCTTTTGGCTCATTGTGGCTTAGCTCCCGATTGTGTCTCTGCTTTGCAGGACACAAAGTTAAACACCAGAGCCCCTAGGTATGCAGACACACCAAGAGACCCGAGTCACAGTTCTGTGCGTGTCATGCTAAACCTCATGGATTTGAGAAGTCTACTGCAAACACTACAATCTGACACCCCAGAGCGAACAGTGTTAGAATTGCACACAAAGAGAAACAACAACAAAACAACAGTATGTCTCATGTTGAGCCGAACTGTTACAAGAACACACACACGAACCTTTGGAGAGGCAGTTTCCCACAAGTCCAAAACAATTTGATATTATTTGATATCTGCTCAGGTTATTCAAATTGATAAACCTTAGCTTTTAAGGACAAAAGTTCCTACACAAAGCTTTATTTAGTGAGAAAAAGCAACAGCTTCCTTTAGTGGTAACCTGAAGAAAAAATGAAGAGGGGAATACATGTTGCCAGTACTTACATTATTACCGGTAGGTAAGGTTAGCATGCTAATGGCCACCACAGCAGTATTTGAAGCACTAAAAGGAACTGTGGTAAGAGTGTCAAAGCTTAACAGTTGGCTATAAGTGCGCTAACATGCTCCCAATAAAAGATAAAGGAATAGTGCTAATGACACTTCAAGACTCTGTGGTTTAACACCGCTAGACTTTTTTCTCACTGGATAAAATCAGGTTAGCACTTCCACTCTGTAGATCATCTTGTGCCAAGGTGTCCTCTCCTCCAGCTTCTCCCAGCTGAGAGTGAGATCCCTTCAACATGATTTAAAAGTACAGTAAATGTCCTTGATTTGGTAAACACAGAGGATAAGACAGTGTTTGTTTGTGCAACTAAGGATGTATGTGCAAGGTTTAAGAAAAAAAATAAAATAGATAGGACATTGCATTACCTGGGGGTGCTGAGGAAGGGTGAAGCACCAAAGGGGATGTGGACAGTGAGGTCAAGACAGTGGCAGCCATCACTTCCTTATCTGCATGGCCTGATGGATTCCTGAAAAATACAGAAACATAGATTCACAACAAAAGAAGAAAAAAAAGTACTAATTGTTTCACACAAAAAAAAGTTAAATCATTTCATTCCTGACTGTGACTTTGCTATTTGTTTAGCTGTGTATTTAAAAAGATAAATAAAAAGGAACCATGTTCTGGTGCAAAAGAAAACTGAAAGACTGCAGGCACAAAAATAAATAACAGTCATGACTTTCTGAAAGACGCAGCAAAAAAATAATCTAAGTAGCAAAAGTACAGAGAGAAAAGCAATCTAATGTTCAGCCACTCGTGAAAAACTCGCTTGTATGTGCCTGCATGTGAGGACGAAGATGTAATGGAAAGCCTCTACAGTCAAAGTGCTTTGTGGTGAGATTCTGTTCTGTGAAAATTGCTTAGAGAGCTGGAGAGAGATGCCTTCTCCTTCTCTTCTATGCTGAGTAGTCCACCCTCATGTTGAATCTTATTTATACCAGTCACTTGAAACAACAAATGCATGTGCACCATGTGTCCTCACAGAGTTTGTTATGGCATCCAGTAATCTAATAGAAATGCCATAGACCAGCCTAACATCACCGTGCAAAAATTGAACAGACCTATCAGTCTCACACACACACACACACACACACACACACACACACACACACACACAC